ATCAATATTTCACTGCATTATACTACAATGCTTATAAATAAAATAATATAATATCAAGTTACTTAAAATGAAAAATAAAATAATGAGAATGTAGCACATTACATTATTACTCCAGGTTCCACGGAATGACTCTGGATGCTACTGATTCACTTTTCTGTTGAGATATTCAGAATTATAGTTACTGAAGTTAATGGAGAAATTTGATGGAGATTTTTGTGTGAAGGAAAATTAAAGCGATAACATAAAAGCGAAAGGTGATGGAAAATGAAGCAAGATGGTTCAGAATGGAAGTACGCTAATATATTTAGATAGATGGAAGTTAAAATGTTAGTGGTTCTTTGGAAAGTGAACCATAGAATAGAAGTGAGGAAGAAATTAGTAAGTGTCTTGAGGAATCTTTGATCAGAAAACGTTAATACACAGCACTTGTAGTTCTACTTGCTATCCTTGGATTGGCAGATCCAAGGATCTGCGGTCAGTGGTCACCTCAGTTCACCGGTCACCTGCAGTCAGTGGTCACCTGAGGCCATACTTGCCTAAGTTCTTGGGAGTTAGCGTGGGCTGTTACCAAGCACCATGGCTTGTTGTAGTGTTTTAGAGTCTCAGGTTCAGGTGTTGAAGAAGGCGATTCTACTTCTTCAGGAGGAAAATAGGAGGCTGAAGCTTTGCATAGATGAGTTTGGGAGCGAGTGTGAGAAGGATTTAGCTGGTAAGGAGGAAATGGTCACCAGCAGTGATAGTGGCAGCCACTTTAAGTGGCAAGTGGTTCACAGTTCAGGAAGAAGGAAGATGAGGAGAGTTAATAATAGAGATGTGAAGGTAGGAAATCGATTCTCTGTTCTCCAAGACGAGTGCACTTCAGTGGTTAGTGAGGTTGAAGGTACCACTGATTCCCCTGCTAATCAAGGTATGAATATTTTAATAGTAGGCAATTCTCAGGTAAGATATATAGACCGTGCATTTTGTAACAGAGACAGAAAGGTCAGACAGAGAGTGTGTCTTCCTGGAGCTGGTGTTGGTGACATAGTCAGCAGGTTGGATAATATTATGGAAGGTAATGGGAACAAGCCCATTATCTGTCTTAGTGCTGGGGGTAATGACATTGGGAAGGGCAGGAGAGAGGAGCTGCTGGATAAGTACAGGTCAGCCATAGAAGTAGTTAGGTCTAAGGGAGGGATCCCAGTCATATGTAGCATCTTGCCTAGAAAGGGAGTGGGCAATGAATGGATGTCTAGGGCAATTGGTATAAATTGCTGGCTAGACAGGTACTGCAAGGAACTTGCAATCCCATTCATTGATAACTGGGACCTATTCTTTGGCAAACGTGATATGTATGCAAGGGATGGGGTTCATCTCTCTGGGGGTGGAGTGGTTGCATTAGCAAATTCAATTGAGAGGGTAATTGATGACTTGTCTAGGAATTTAAACTGATAGATTATAGAGGTATGGGTGTTTGTGGGAAATAATCAGGCTGCAGCATTAGGTTTAAAAAAAGCAGTTATTACCGGGACACCTCAGGGATATGTTTAAAAGACAATATTCAAAATAAAGTTGCTAGTAATGTCAAATCAATTTATCAACAAAGAAAGATAGTAGAGGGCAAAGAGTGACTAGCTCCCTTAAGGTTTACTATACAAATAGTAGGAGTCTAAGAAATAAGATAGATGCTAAGATTACTTGCAAGTGCAGGTAATATAGATATTATTGGTATAACAGAGACCTGGTTCAACCTGAAAGATAGAGAAATGCCTTCTGAATGCAACATACAGGGTTATAAACTATTCCACACGGATAGGGTCAACAGGAAGGGTGGTGGATTGGCGATGTATGTCAGAGAAAATTTAAATTGCTGTCTTAGACTCGATGTAAGATTATGCCCGCAAACCCTGATAGGGAGTGCAGTAAGCTGTTATGGGACGAAATTCATAAGGCATCTAGATATGAAAATGTTGTGATAATGGGAGATTTTAACTTTAGACAAAATTATTGGAACAATATGACAGGAAATCTTGAGTCTAGTGACTTTCTTGATACGGTTCAGGATTGCTTTTTAAAACATGTTGTGACAGAACCAACTAGAGGACACAGTCTGCTTGACCTGGTTCTTGCCAACAAAGATTTACTAATTAATAATCTTGAGGTTAATGATGAGCTTGGGGAAAGTGATCACAAATCACTTAGTTTCAATATATCATGGAATTACCCAGATAACTGCAATCAAATCTCTGTCCCAGGTTTTCGCTTGGCCGACTTCATAGGACTGAAAAATTACCTGGGTGGGCTAAATTGGGATGTCCTGACTATGGGTCAGGTAGGTGATCTTGGTTGCCAATATGACGTTTTCCAGAGCATAGTTCTAGCTGCCCAGACAACTTTTGTTCCGAGTAGGGAAATTAGATCTAGCAAAAATGATCCCAAATGGATGAACAATAGAGTACAACATCTCATTGGTCAACAAGAGGCATATATAGGCGTATCAAAAGAGGGATGGGCAGTTAAGAAATCAATATATTCAATTAAAGAGAGAAATAATGAAAGGAATAAGAAAAGCAAAATGAGACTATGCGGCTAAGGTCGCAAGAGTTTCAAAGACTAACCCAAAAGGGTTCTTTCAGGTATACAGAAGTAAGATTAGGGACAAGATTGGCCCACTTAAGAGTAACTCTGGTTAGATCACTGACAGTGATAAGGATATGTGTGAAATTCTCAATACCTACTTCCTCTCAGTTTTCACCCAGGAAAATACTAGCGATATTCCTGAAATAATAGATTATGTAGAACAGGATAATACACTATGTAGGATTGTGGTAACTAGTTACATGGTCCTCAGACAAATAGAGAAACTAAAACCTAACAAATCCCCAGGCCCTGATGAACTGTTTGCAAGGGTGTTAAAGGAATGTAAAGAGGAACTTAGCATCCATTTGGCTAATCTTTTTAACATATCACTACAAACTGGCATAGTGCCTGATAAGTGGAAAATGGCAAATGTAATACCTATTTACAAGGCAGGTGACAGGTCCTTGGCTTCGCTCTATAGACCAATAAGCCTTACACAGATATCCCGCACATAGAAGAGAGAAGCTTACGACGACGTTTCGGTCCGACTTGGACCCTCTACAAAGTCACAGTGTTACTTTGTAAATGGTCCAAGTCGGACCGAAACGTCGTCGTTAGCTTCTCTCTTCTATGTGCGGGTTATTTGTGTATCGTTCCAGTCACGGTATTGTGCCTTTTTTTGTTATTTAATAAGCCTTACCTCCATAGTGGGAAAATTTATGGAATCAATAATTGCCGAAGCAATTCGTAGCCATCTTGACAGGCACAGGTTGATTAATGAATCTCAACACGGTTTTACAAAGGGGCGTTCCTGTCTTACGAATTTACTAACTTTTTTCACTAAGGTGTTTGAGGAGGTAGATCATGGTAATGAATATGATATTGTGTATATGGACTTCAGTAAGTCTTTCGATAGAGTTCCACACCAGAGGCTATTGAAGAAACTTAAGGCACACTGAATAGGAGGAGATATTTTTTCGAGGGTAGAGGCATTGCTGACAAATAGGCAACAGAGAGTTTGCACAAATGGGGAGAAATCAGAATGGGGGCACGTCACAAGCGGTGTTCCTCAGGGGTCAGTGTTGGGCCCGTTGTTCACAATATATATAAACGACATAGCTGAGGGAATAAATAGCGACATAAGCAAATTTGATGATGACACCAAAATAGGCCGTCCAATTCATTCTAATGAGGACACTAGAGCACTCCAGAATGATTTGAATAGACTGATGCAATGGTCGGAGAAGTGGCAGATGCAGTTTAATATTGACAAATGCAAAGGTCTAAATGTTGGTCAGTTAAATAACCATGCCACATATAAACTAAATAATATAGATCTTAATATTACTGATTGCGAAAAGGATTTAGGAGTTCTGGTTAGCAGTAATCTAAAACCAAGACAACAGTGCATTAGTGTTCGTAATAAATCTAACAGAATTCTTGGCTTCATATCTAGAAGTGTAAATAATAGAAGTCCTCAGGATGTTCTTCAACTCTATTTATCCTTGGTTAGGCCTCATTTAGACTATGCTGCTCAGTTCTGATCACCGTATTACAGAATGGATATAAATGCTTAGGAGAACGTACAGAGGAGGATGACAAAGATGATCCCATGTATCAGAAATCTTCCCTATGAGGATAGGCTGAGGCCCTGAATCTGCACTCTCTCGAAAGGCTTAGAATTAGAGGGGATATGATCGAGGTGTATAAATGGAAAACAGGAATAAATGAAGGGGATGTAAATAGCGTGCTGAAAATTTCCAGCCAAGACAGGACTAACAACATTGGTTTCAAGTTGGAAAAATTCAGATTCAGGAAGGATATAGGAGAGCACTGGTTTGGTAATAGAGTTGTGGATGAGTGGAACAAACTCCCGAGTACAGTTATTCAGGCTAAAACGTTGTGTAGTTTTAAAAATAGGTTAGATAAATACAAGAGTGGGTGTGGGTGGGTGTGAGTTGGACCTGACTAGCTTGTGCTGCTGGGTCTGGTGCCGTGCTCCATCCTTGAGTGGAGGTGACCAGACTGGGTGGGTCATTGGGCTAATCCGGGGGGGGGGACATGGACCTGATCCGCATGGGTCAGTAGGCCTGTTGTAGTGTTCCTTCTTTCTTATGTTCTTATGCTCTTATTGCTTTTGCCATTGAGCTGAGGGGGTTCTAATAGAAAAGTTGCACAGACAGCAGTACTGGATCATGTCTGCATCACAGGCCACTGTCTGTGACCCAACTGCCTCTTCCTACAGCTCCAGCAGTGAATTGTTTAGCAATATATTCATCGCCTTACAGATCTCCATTCTTAAACTGTTAGATGTCATTACTTCCTGAATGAAACCCGCCATATATGTGGAAATTTAAGAGGTAAACAGTCAGCTTTTTTCCCCAAAATATTACAGATTCTGTAACATAAAAAAAAAGTTACCGTTGCTTCTCTTTTCACAGTTATGACTCCCGGAAGCACAGTGTCCAGGACGCTAGGAACTGGGCTGACGAAAAGAGCTTGGGTGGACGGGGTCACTTTGATTTACACACGACACCGGCTTCACTAGTTCTGGACAACATTCGGCCCACAGACGAGGGCCTTTACCGATGTCGAGTTGACTTCAAAAAAAGCCCAACTAGGAACGCCAGAACCAACCTCACAGTCATCAGTGAGTTGCAAGCTTTTTCCTATTAGCGCAAAATGTATTTCTATTTCTATTTCTCAGTGATATTATTCAGAATCAAGACTTACGCGAGGTGTTGAACACCCCATTAATGCAATACTAAATAAATACTGCAATGGTTTGGAATAGGCAATCTCAGAATGACACTCCATTCATGATTTTACGACAATGCATACATAATATAGGTGTTAGAGAAGTGTTAAGCAGATCAAAATAAAGGCAAGACAGAGCACAGTAAAAAAAATTATCTGTACCAAACAGATTTGCAGTTTATATATAAGAAAGTTTACTTTAACAGGCACATAGATTAAATATGAGAAATATTTAATCGCATTACAATGCCAAGTCTTTACTGTAAGTAAATATGTACAACATATCTGTTTATATTCACCATCAGAGTGGTACCTGTCGGTGTATATGCAATGAGAGATATATTTTCCATTGTAAATATAATGATATAACTTTAATTTAGTCCTTGTTTTGGGGATAAAATGATTATGTAAAATCGAGTTACAACTTTAATAACGCACATGCAGTCATTAGATTAGAAAAATCATTTTTCAGTTCCTCCAAGTAATCCTGTCATCGTTGCTGAACAGGGACGACCTCAGGTGGGTCCTTATAATGAGGGAGACTCAATGACACTCACTTGTGAAGCCAATGGAGGTAAGTATCACAATTTCTCTCTCTCTCTGTTTCTCTCCTTTTTCTCTGCCTCTCTAAAGGCGAAAGTGAATTTTCCTCGTGTAGAATTTTGGTCGTTGCTGTAAATTAACTGCCAGATACGCTGTAATGAGGCTAACTTTCTCCTTATTAAGTAGGACACATGTGTAACAGTGAGATATTGTTATTCCAGAACGTTTCGCCTGCATTGTATAAATTTTCAGTCGACTGCATATGAAGCAGCAGAAGCAGTAGAGATGTCAAGTCGTGTTGTGCTCACAGAGACGCTCTTTCTCGGTTGTAATGAGTGATAAGATAAGATAAGATTTCGTTCGGATTTTTAACCCCGGAGGGTTAGCCACACAGGATAACCCAAGAAAGTCAGTGTGCCATCGAGGACTGTCTAACTTATTTCCACTGGGGTCCTTAATTAATCTTGTCCCCCAGGATGCGACCCACACCTGTCGACTAACACCCAGGTACCTATTTGCTGCTAGGTGAACAGGACAACAGGTGTAAGGAAACGTGTCGAAATGTTTCCACCCGCCGGGAATCGAACCCGGGCCCTCCGTGTGTGAAGCGAGAGCTTTAGCCACCAGGCCACCAGGAATATTTAAGTCACTTTCCTCTCACCTTGAACCTTTCTGGCCATTCTCCTCTGACCATTCTCGCCTTTTTCTCACATGAAAAAAGGCTATTTCGTTCACACAACTGCCTCTCATTGGATGCTTTGTGCTTCTCACTCCAATGTACACTCCAGAGATTGTTGTGCGTGAATATCCCAGAAGATCCGCAGTTTCTGAGATACTCAGACCACCTTGTCCACCACCAACAATCATACTACGCTAAGAGTTGTTTAGATTGAGGAAACTTAAGGCACACGGAATAGGAGGAGAAATTTTTTCATGGGTTGAGGCGTGGTTGATGAATAGGCAGCAGAGAGCTTGCATAAATGGAAAGAAACCTGAATGGGGGCACGTCACAAGCGGTGTTCCACAGGGGTCAGTGTTGGGACCCTTGTTGTTCACAATCTACATAAACGACATAGATGAGGGAATAAATAGCGACATAAGCAAATTTGCTGATGACACCAAAATAAGCCGTCCAGTTCATTCTAATTAGGACATTAGAGCACTCCAGGATGATTCAAATAGACTGATGCAGTGGTCGGAGAAATGGCAGATTAAGTAAGTAAGTTTATTCAGGTATACATAAATACAGTTACATAGAATTATCATACATAGCAGCATATGTGTAGAGAACCTGGGATAACCCAAAAAGTCAGTGACTTAATATAGACAAATGCAAAGTTCTAAATGTTGTACAGGAAAATAACCATGCCACATATAAACTAAATAATGTAGATCTTAATATTGCTCATTGCGAAAAGGATTTAGGAGTTCTGGTTAGCAGTAATCTAAAACCAAGACCGGTGGCCTGGTGGCTAAAGCTCCCGCTTCACACACGGAGGGCCCGGGTTCGATTCCCGGCGGGTGGAAACATTTCGACACGTTTCCTTACACCTATTGTCCTGTTCACCTAACAGCAAATAGGTACCTGGGTGTTAGTCGACTGGTGTGGGTCGCATCCTGAGGGAAAAGATTAAGGACCCCAATGGAAATAAGTTAGTCAGTCCTCGATGACGCACTGACTTTCTTGGGTTATCCTGGGTGGCTAACCCTCCGGGGTTAAAAATCCGAACGAAATCTTATCTTATCTTATCTTAAAGCTAACAGAATTCTTGGCTTCATATCAAGAAGTATAAATAATAGAAATCCTCAGGTTATTCTTCAACTCTACATATCCTTGGTTAGGCCTCATTTAGACTATGCTGCTCAGTTCTGGTCACCGTATTACAGAATGGATCTAAATGCTCTGGAAAACGTACAGAGGAGGATGACAAAGATGATCCCATGTATCAGAAATCTTTCGTATGACAGTAGACTGAGGGCATTGAATCTGCATTCTCTAGAAAGGAGTAAAATTCGGGGAGGGGGGGGGGGTATATGATTGAGGTGTATAAATGCAAAACAGGAATTAATAAAGGGTATGTAAATAGCGTGCTGAAAATATGTAACATAGACAGGACTCGCAGCAATGGCTTTAAATTGGAAAAATTCAGATTCAGGAAGGATATAGGAAAGCACTGGTTTGGTAGAGTTGTGGATGAGTGGAACAAACTCCCGAGTACCGTCATAGCGCTAAGACGCTGTGTAGTTTTAAAAATAGGTTGGATAAATACAAGAGTGGGGGTGGGTTGGTGTGAGTTGGACCTGACTAGCTTGCGCTGCTAGGTCGGATGCACTTCTCCTCCCTTAAGTGACGTGTCTGACCTCACTAGGTCAAGGCATTGGCTTAAGCCGGTACGAGAATTGGAGCTGCCTCGCATGGGCCAGTAGGCCTGTTGCAGTGTTCCTTCTTTCTTATGTTCTTATTACATATATTCCAGAATCTGATGTTCAGTCTGAAAAGAACTGAATTTCTTGACCTGCGTGTTTTTTAGGCACTGAGGTGCTGCCACGTGATTGGCTGATTTGATATTTGCAGCAATGAGCAGGTGTAAAGTGTATTATGAGAATTTGCTACCAAAATTATTAAATGTTCTTAATAATCATAGAAGTGAAATAACAAGTCAGAAGCATAGGAAAATTTTTAGCTATTATGACATCAGAGAAATGTTTATAAAACTGGGGAGGATTTGCAACCATTTATAGAAATGACGAGGCAGCTTGTTCTCAGAGGCCCTTGTATTTACGTAGTTAAAACCTAACCCAGGAAAATCTACCCGGGGTAAATCAATGGACCTGTTAAGTTTACTCACTGACAGTCTTTTATATGTATTTATGCTACTATATATATATATATATATATATATATATATATATATATATATATATATATATATATATATATATATATATATATATATATATATATATATAAAATGTCGTGCCGAATAGGCAGAACTTGCGATCTTGGCTTAAATAGCAACGCTCATCTTGCCATATAGGACAAGTGAAAATTTGTGTATGCAATAATTTCGCCAAAATTATTCCGAACCTAACGAAAAAAAATATATTTCACTGTGTTTGTTTAGTATTAAATTATTGTAAACAAATCTAAAATATATTTAGTTGGGTTAGGCTAAAATAAATTGTTCTTGTTATAATATGGTTAGGTAAGTTTTCTAAGATTCTTTTGTAGCAAAATTAAAATTTTTTACATTAACAATAATGAAAAAAATATATCTTTAAACGTATAAGAGAAAATTTTACAAAGAACTTAATTTTAAATGAGTTCTTGCTAATTGACCAGTTTTACATATTCGGCACGACATTATATATATATATATATATATATATATATATATATATATATATATATATATATATATATATATATATATATAATAGTGCAGCCACTTTGCTGACGGATATAAGCTTAAGACTTCTCATCCCTCAGGTAAGCCTCCTCCCAGGGTCACCTGGTGGATGAAGGGAGAGATGGTTGACGATTCATTTGAGTCTCCACGTGCCAACACTGTCATCAATACATTTACCTTGGCCAGACTGACTCGTGCACATTTGCAAAGTGTCCTGCTGTGTAGAGCTTCCAACAGCGAGCATACCACGCCTGTCCAGAACTCCATCACTATTGAAATGAATTGTGAGAACCATTTAAAAAATAAATTTTATTATTATTATTATTATTATTATTATTATTATTATTATTATTTCCTGTATATTTTGTAACACACCGAGCGTCTTCCACTGAGGTAGGTTGACCCGAGAAAAAGGAAAGACCTTCACCGTCACTCACACCATCGTTATCTTGGCAGTAGCATGCTGAAATCAGCTCTCAGATGCCCCTCCAGACTGCAATGTTCTCGACACTTCAGAGTGCAGTCACTGTACTTCGTACCTCCAGTGCTCTAGTTCTGCTAACCGGTTTCCCTGATTCATTTTATATAAGTTATCTTGATCACACTCCAAAAGCACGACAAGTCATAAAAACCACTTGCCTCCACTCACTCTTACTAACATACTCGCACATACAAGTTAAATATCCAAGCCCATTTCACACAAAACATTCTTTATCTTCTCTCTCCAACCTTTCCTAGGCTGACCACACCTGTCGTTCCTCAATTCCCTCAAAATGTTTAAACGACTCTTTAATACTGTACGTTTAGTAAACCCGCACCACAATCTAACCTCTAAGCTACGAATTATCTACATTATATTTACACAACATATTGTCCTCAGACACGACCTCTTTACTGCCTCTAGCCTCATCCTTGCTGCATCCTTTAAAACCCATTTTTCACGCTCATATAAGAGCGTTGATACCATTATTTTGTAGTATATTTTCCGGTTTGCCTCTATGGATAAAGTTCTTTATCTCCACAGATACCTCAGTGCACCACTCACCTTTTTCCTCTAATCATTTCTGTGGGTCATCTTTCGTGGACACGTCCGTAGACAGTTCTCCTCTCACACATTACAACAAACTCACTTCACTTTCTCTATACGCCCTCCTTCCAGTCTCATATCCAATTTTTCATTACCTAAATTTGTTGTTACTCTCGTCACCTTGCTCTTTCCTATGTTCACTTTTAATTCCCTCCTTTCACGTAACCTTCCAAATTCGAATATTAGAATCTTCAACTTCTCATCAGAATACATACTTTAACCTCACACTCGCTATCGTCAAAAAAGTCCTTTAACTGCCTTAAGTAGCCTACCCCCTTTTCTGTATACTTGCTACATGTGCCACATTCTCCCCTTTCCACCCTATCATATTCCTTTTCTAAGTTCATAAATGTATTTTTCAAAATATTGTTCACTCAATGTTTACAGACGCAATGTTTACATCTTCATTGTAAACATTGCGTCTACACGTCCCCCAACCTTCCTAGAACATAATTCATCTGCGATCCCGCTTTCAGTCTTACTCTTAAATCTTTCAGTAATAACTCTGCTATACAATTTTCCTGGTATATTCAACCGGCTAAATCTCCTATAATTTTTACATTGTATTTTAACCCCTTTTCCTATCTTCAAAGGAGCTATGCATGCTCCCTGCCAATTTTCCTTTCTCCTGCAAGATGCTACGAAGGAAAGATTCATCTCTACTTTCCCCAGATGTCAGGAAATAATATAAGAACAAGAATTAGTAAGGAAGTAGAAGAAAACTCAGATGGGTATATATATACATATACATGCAAGTATATTAATACCATATATATCAGAGTTTATGATATGGGAAGTGTAGCCAATGTGGTGGAACGAGCTGTCAACACCTGAAATTACTGTGTGGAATTTTCTCCTGCCTTGTCTACCTTTCTATTTAGTAAACTCTGTCTACTCACATTCCAAACTAATTTTCTTCTCTCCCAAACTTTTTTTTGTATATAATTTAGTTTAGTTGTTGTTAGGTAAGACACATATGCAACAGTTAGGTATCTTTATTTCGAAACGTTTCGCCTACACAGTAGGCTTCTTCAGTCGAGTACAGAAAAGTTGATAGAAGCAGAAGATACTTGAAGACGATGTAATCAGTCCATCACCCTTAAAGTTTTGAGGTGGTCAGTCCAAGGGTGATGGACTGATTACATCGTCTTCAAGTATCTTCTGCTTCTATCAACTTTTCTGTACTCGACTGAAGAAGCCTACTGTGTAGGCGAAACGTTTCGAAATAAAGATACCTAACTGTTGCATATGTGTCTTACCTAACAACCTGTCGGTATTTTATACCATTTTAATGTTCAGTTTAGTTGTTCTAAAGTGATTTAATTTCACAACTCGAAGAAAATGTGTAAAACAGGAGCAGCTAAAAATTAAAAACAAGCACGAAATATTTAAAATAAAAAAAATATATTTTCTATTATTTTTTGTTACGATTAGAAATGGTGTGAATATAACCCGCTTAATAATAAATGCCAAAAATTGCTGAAGTATTTTGTTGCTATTACGAAAGATTGTGAGAATAAAATACAACTGTACAATCACCACATTAAACTAAATTTTCCGCCACTGGTGACTTTATAAGTTCTGTATCGATCCTGTTATTAGGATTGGCAATGCAAACAGTTGCAAAACGTTTTTTCTTTTTTTCAGTAAATGTCTTAATTGTGGAAATGTGTCTTATTCCCGTAGTAATGTTTCCAGTATAAAGTTTCTGGGAGTGAATGTAACTTAGCATAAGACAGTAGAAATATAACATTGTTCCTCTATTATTATATTCTAACTAAATCAGAATGAGGCATTTCTTTACTAGACGTAAATTGACCTGAAATTGGTAAACGCAACGAAAAATACTCTATATATAATATTTGTTTAATGGATCAATACTTAATGGGAAAGCTTTGTTAAATTGTGACTTTAACTAAGTTCCCCTCCATCCTCCCCTTCTTCCCCTCATTGTTAAAACCCCTTAACTACTGAGTCCCTCACTACACTTAAGAAAGATTACATTACTACAAACTTAGTAAAGTTCTTCCTACACAAGTGTTACAGTCACTTTCTACAGATGTGCTAGAATGCCACACTGCACCAGTGTTAAATTTCCTCATATCACTTGTGAGTGTCCTCAGCACACGGCTTCCTCAGTATACACTCCGGCTGATGAGACTGTGTACTGTGAGCAGTTTTACCCTGTTATCGCTCCTGCCTCCCGATGCAGTCAAGTATTCCGTCTTGTTTGAGTTACCAGTGTATTTTATTGCTTGTGCTTCATGCTGAGTCGCGGCCACCTGTCTGAGCTCATATTTTTAGATTTTTTATATTTTTTTTTTTTTTACAATCGACTCACCAACCGGAGACGAAAGCAGAAGTGTCGGACAGTCGTAAACAATTTTCCTGGTTTTGGTCGAACTGCAGTGTTGTCTGGTTTTATGCCCGGTTTGTAGATTTGTCGGCAAAATCTCAAACAAACGAATGACTTAATTTCATTGTTTATATCTTTGCAGTAAAGCCGCTGTCAGTCAAGCTCCTGGCCTCCCGCGAGGCCATCTCTGCCGGCAAAGAATATGAGATTGTGTGCCAGAGCGTCGGGGCGCGACCCCCGGCCTCCATCACCTGGTGGCTGGATGGTACCCAGCTCACCAACACTACCATCTCTGTGAGTGATGAAGGAAGCATGAAGGAAGTAACGGACCCAAGAAGGAACAGAACTGTTGGAGTTAGGAAGAGTGGAAGGAAGAAAAGGAAAAAGAGAATTGTGTGAAACAAATAGTGGAAGCAAGGATATGGGGTAGAACAGATTGAACGGAAAGCGAAGAATAGAGGATAATGTAATGTAGGATAAAGGAAAAAGTGTCGTATATGGAGAATAAAATAAGATAAATGAAGGGACGAAGCAAGGTTTCATGAAACGATAGAGAAGAAAGGGAGAAGAATGGAAAAAAAGAGGGAGGAAAATTAAAGAAGGAATTGAGTGAAGGAACAGGAACTTAGGTTGCTTGGAAAGAAGCTGAAGAAACAGAAAGATGAACGGGCAAGAAAGTGGTAGAGTTAGGGAGAAAGTGGTACAGTTAGGGAGAAAGTGGTAGAGTTAGGGAGAAAGTGGTACAGCTAGGGAGAAAGTATTAGAGTTAGGGAGAAAGTGGTACAGCTAGGGAGAAAGTGGTAGAGTTAGGGAGAAAGTGGTACAGTTAGGGAGAAAGTATTAGAGTTAGGGAGAAAGTGGTACAGCTAGGGAGAAAGAGGGAGGGTTAGGGAGAAAGTGGTACAGATAGGGAGAAAGTGGTACAGCTAGGGAGAAAGTGGTACAGCTAGGGAGAAAGTAGAAGAGTTAGGGAGAAAGTGCTACAGCTAGGGAGAAAGTGGTAGAGTTGGGGAGAAAGTGGTGCAGCTAGGGAGAAATTGGTAGAGTTAGGGAGAAATTGGTAGAGTTAGGGAGAAATTGGTAGAGTTAGGGAGAAATTGGTAGAGTTAGGGAGAAATTGGTGAAGTTAGGGAGAAATTGGTAGAGTTAGGGAGAAATTGGTAGAGTTAGGGAGAAATTGGTAGAGTTAGGGAGAAATTGGTAGAGTTAGGGAGAAAGTGGTAGAGTTAGGGAGAAAGTGGTAGAGTTAGGGAGAAAGTGGTAGAGTTAGGGAGAAAGTGGTAGAGTTAGGGAGAAAGTGGTAGAGTTAGGGAGAAAGTGGTACAGCTAGGGAGAAAGTGGTAGAGTTAGGGAGAAAGTGGTAGAGTTAGGGAGAAAGTGGTAGAGCTATGGAGAAAGTGGTAGAGCTATGGAGAAAGTGGTAGAGCTAGGGAGAAAGTGGTAGTTAGGGAGAAAGTGGTAGAGATAGGGAGAAAGTGGTAGAGATAGGGAGAAAGTGGTAGAGATAGGGAGAAAGTGGTAGAGGTAGGGAGAAAGTGGTAGAGTTAGAGAGAAAGTGGTAGAGTTAGAGAGAAAGTGGTAGAGTTAGGGAGAAAGTGGTAGAGTTAGGGAGAAAGTGGTAGAATTAGGGAGAAAGTGGTAGAGTTAGGGAGAAAGTGGTAGAGTTAGGAGAAAGTGGTAGAGTTAGGGAGAAAGTGGTAGAGTTAGGGAGAAAGTTGTAGAGTTAGGGAGAAAGTTGTAGAGCTAGGGAGAAAGTTGTAGAGCTAGGGAGAAAGTGGTAGAGCTAGGGAGAAAGTGGTAGAGCTAGGGAGAAAGTGGTAGAGCTAGGGAGAAAGTGGTAGAGATAGGGAGAAAGTGGTAGAGATAGGGAGAAAGTGGTAGAGATAGGGAGAAAGTGGTAGAGTTAGGGAGAAAGTGGTAGAGTTAGGGAGAAAGTGGTAGAGTTAAGGAGACAGTGGTAGAGTTAAGGAGACAGTGGTAGAGTTAGGGAGAAAGTGGTAGAGTTAGGGAGAAAGTGGTAGAGTTAGGGAGAAAGTGGTAGAGTTAGGGAGAAAGTGGTAGAGTTAGGGAGAAAGTGGTAGAGTTAGGGAGAAAGTGGTAGAGTTAGGGAGAAAGTGGTAGAGTTAGGGAGAAAGTGGTAGAGTTAGGGAGAAAGTGGTAGAGATAGGGAGAAAGTGGTAGAGATAGGGAGAAAGTGGTAGAGATAGGGAGAAAGTGGTAGAGATAGGGAGAAAGTGGTAGAGATAGGGAGACAGTGGTAGAGTTAGGGAGAAAGTGGTAGAGTTAGGGAGAAAGTGGTAGAGTTAGGGAGAAAGTGGTAGAGTTAGGGAGAAAGTGGTAGAGTTAGGGAGAAAGTGGTAGAGTTAGGGAGAAAGTAGTAGAGTTAGGGAGAAAGTGGTAGAGTTAGGGAGAAAGTGGTAGAGTTAGGGAGAAGTAGTAGAGTTAGGGAGAAAGTGGTAGAGTTAGGGAGAAAGTGGTAGAGTTAGGGAGAAAGTCGAAGAGTTAGGGAGAAAGTGGTAGAGTTAGGGAGAAAGTGGTAGAGTTTGGGAGAAAGTAGTAGAGTTAGGGAGAAAGTGGTAGAGTTAGGGAGAAAGTGGTAGAGTTAGGGAGAAAGTGAACAATGATATAACAGAGAGACAAAGTTGAAGTGAAAATATTTCAAAGATATTAAATATTTTCTTTACTAACAATTGTAAGACTTTGTTTTTATGTTGACTACACTAAATTATCTCTGTTATGTTGACTACACTAAATTATCTCTGTTATGTTGACTACACTAAATTATCTCTGTTATGTTGACTACACTAAATTATCTCTCTTATGTTGACTACACTAAATTATCTCTGTTATGTTGACTACACTAAATTATCTCTGTTATGTTGACTACATTAATTATCTCTCTGTTATGTTGACTACTCTAAATTATCTCTGTTATGTTAACTACACTAAATTATCTTTGTTATGTTGACTACACTAAATTATCTCTGTTATGTTGACTACATTAATTATCTCTCTGTTATGTTGACTACACTAAATTATCTCTGTTATATTGACTACCCTAAATTATCTCTCTGTTATGTTGACTACCCTAAATTATCTCTCTGTTATGTTGACTACATTAATTATCTCTCTGTTATGTTGACTACACTAAATTATCTCTGTTATGTTGACTACACTAAATTATCTCTGTTATGTTGACTACACTAAATTATCTCTGTTATGTTGACTACACTAAATTATCTCTGTTATGTTGACTACACTAAATTATCTCTGTTATGTTGACTACACTAAATTATCTCTGTTATGTTGACTACACTAAATTATCTCTGTTATGATTACACTAAGTTATCTCTGTTATGTTGACTATACTAAATTATCTCTGTTATGTTGACTACACTAAATTATCTCTGTTATGTTGACTACACTAAATTATCTCTGTTATGTTGACTACACTAAATTATCTCTGTTATGTTGACTACACTAAATTATCTCTGTTATGTTGACTACACTAAATTATCTCTGTTATGTTGACTACACTAAATTATCTCTGTTATGATTACACTAAGTTATCTCTGTTATGTTGACTATACTAAATTATCTCTGTTATGTTGACTACACTAAATTATCTCTGTTATGTTGACTACACTAAATTATCTCTGTTATGTTGACTACACTAAATTATCTCTGTTATGTTGACTACACTAAATTATCTCTGTTATGATTACACTAAGTTATCTCTGTTATGTTGACTATACTAAATTATCTCTGTTATGTTGACTACACTAAATTATCTCTGTTATGTTGACTACACTAAATTATCTCTGTTATGTTGACTACACTAAATTATCTCTCTGTGATGTTGACTACACTAAATTATCTCTGTTATGTTGACTACACTAAATTATCTCTGTTATGTTGACTACACTAAATTATCTCTGTTATGTTGACTACACTAAATTATCTCTGTTATGTTGACTACACTAAATTATCTCTGTTATGTTGACTACACTAAATTATCTCTGTTATGTTGACTACACTAAATTATCTCTGTTATGTTGACTACACTAAATTATCTCTGTTATGTTGACTACACTAAATTATCTCTGTTATGTTGACTACACTAAATTATCTCTGTTATGTTGACTACACTAAATTATCTCTGTTATGTTGACTACACTAAATTATCTCTCTTTTATGTTGACTACTCTAAATTATCTCTCTGTTATGTTGACTACTCTAAATTATCTCTGTTATGTTAACTACACTAAATTATCTTTGTTATGTTGACTACACTAAATTATCTCTGTTATGTTGACTACATTAATTATCTCTCTGTTATGTTGACTACACTAAATTATCTCTGTTATATTGACTACCCTAAATTATCTCTCTGTTATGTTGACTACCCTAAATTATCTCTCTGTTATGTTGACTACATTAATTATCTCTCTGTTATGTTGACTACACTAAATTATCTCTGTTATGTTGACTACACTAAATTATCTCTGTTATGTTGACTACACTAAATTATCTCTGTTATGTTGACTACACTAAATTATCTCTGTTATGTTGACTACACTAAATTATCTCTGTTATGTTGACTACACTAAATTATCTCTGTTATGTTGACTACACTAAATTATCTCTGTTATGATTACACTAAGTTATCTCTGTTATGTTGACTATACTAAATTATCTCTGTTATGTTGACTACACTAAATTATCTCTGTTATGTTGACTACACTAAATTATCTCTGTTATGTTGACTACACTAAATTATCTCTGTTATGTTGACTACACTAAATTATCTCTGTTATGTTGACTACACTAAATTATCTCTGTTATGATTACACTAAGTTATCTCTGTTATGTTGACTATACTAAATTATCTCTGTTATGTTGACTACACTAAATTATCTCTGTTATGTTGACTACACTAAATTATCTCTGTTATGTTGACTACACTAAATTATCTCTGTTATGTTGACTACACTAAATTATCTCTGTTATGATTACACTAAGTTATCTCTGTTATGTTGACTATACTAAATTATCTCTGTTATGTTGACTACACTAAATTATCTCTGTTATGTTGACTACACTAAATTATCTCTGTTATGTTGACTACACTAAATTATCTCTCTGTGATGTTGACTACACTAAATTATCTCTGTTATGTTGACTACACTAAATTATCTCTGTTATGTTGACTACACTAAATTATCTCTGTTATGTTGACTACACTAAATTATCTCTGTTATGTTGACTACACTAAATTATCTCTGTTATGTTGA